TTTTCGACTTGAACTATGTAGTACGGTTTTTATTGTGTACTGACCACTAGTTAGGTTGGCGAAAGGTTCTAACAAATGCGAATGGAGAAAATGAATCATGTCATCTAGTACGCCAGCAAAGAACTGCGACAGAAGGAGGGTTGCTGGTCAGTTTTTCACCGCGGTCTGTGCGAATCGACATTTCTCTGTTCGTGTGGTACTTTGATTAATTTCAAAAGAATGCGGACAACAAGAACAACAGCTAGATACGACAGTGGAACGAGGAATTTCCGCTGGGAAAAGTAGTGCATTTTTGTGGCTGTGTACATGGACAAGATTTCGTCCTGTTCTTATAAGTGAGCAATTATCTAGAAAGGGAGGAATCTTGAAACATGAGCTGCTGCACTCGGCATCACATTACATGTCTACGCTGCCAGGAATAATTGACCAGTGCTCGAAAATTCATCATCGGAAGGTAAGTTCCGTTGCAAAATGAAACGCACTAAAACAATTCGCAGTTACTCTGCTGTTGTTATTAAGTATTTCAAAGTGAGGAATTCATAGTAATTGAATGAATAGAGTAGCCCCAGGGCGTAAAAATGTAAAAATTAAGATAATGTTATGATTATTGCTGGTAATGATAATGACAGTGAAAGAGCGTTGATTTGCTCCAATTCTTCTGCCTTATCAAAGTTGGGCTTCAAACAAAGAATTCCAAATCTTGAAAAAACCAATCAACGGCCAAAAACCAGGATTCAGAAATGATAACAGCTGTCCCCGAAATGGCGGAAGATGAAGCCAGAGAAGGAGCACCGCTTTTTGTCCCAGAAATATCGAAGAAACATTTGAGTAGTAAGTAAAGAGAACTAGAATGACAACTACAGCAAAAATCTAGAAGTTCAGGAATGCACAGAGAAAAATTTCTGATTTCCTGGACATATTCGTACAAAATTTGGAGGTTTCAAGTTCTCATTTTAGTAGGAAGATACAATAGCAGCACTGATAAAATGATGATATCAGTACTGCTTGCACTACAGTTTTTAATCTTCAAGCGAGCACTCATGAATCAGAAGAAGCCAGGACAAAAATTCCTTTGCGTGCGATAGTGTCCAAAGCAAACGAGAAAGTAACAATGCTGAACAAACAAGACGTTTACTGAAGGGGGAACGAGGGGCATGAGGGAATGAGGCGGAAGGAGACAGGAGGGTGTCAGGATGGGCAAGCAGCAAAATGCACTCTTTAAGAAGGAAACCACACAGAGATAAGGATCAACTGAGAGAATGTGTACCGATATTTGCATTTGCATTCTAAATTCAAATTTCAAATTTCGCGGTGATTTGTATGTTCAACAGCTCGGCCATTTCTCAAGGCTGCAGTACCAATGACTTAGAGCTAGTCTCTCAAAGTGGCCGTATTTTTGTCAATTTGGTTTTTTTTTGATTTTTGAACTTTTAAGCTTGCTATTTTTTGGGAACTTACTAACTGCATGTATTACGAAAAGAAACGTGACCACGAAGCTAACCAAAACAACAAAATAAGGTTGCTGTGGCAATATAGTTACACGCTTGCGTCCACCAGCTGCACCGCGGATCAGTTTAGCGGGTCACTGACCAGGATTATCTTGAATTGATTCCCAAATTAATGCCACCACCAGAGAGGGGATGGGGGAGGGAGGTGCTCCATTTACAAGCTTCCCCAGCGAACCCGTTTTTAGTACGACGCGATAAAAAGTTGACAACACGGGAGGGAGAGGAACGTCGCTTAGGGAAGGGGACAAGAAACCAGCAAAAGGGAAGCGGAAGGGGGAGGGTGTACCCAATTTGTAAGTGATAAGAAAGTTAAAAGAAAAAATACGCTTCAGCATGATTTTATTAAAAAATTTATAATAGAGATAGAAAATAGAACAGCGTGATAAAAGATCTATTAATGGTAGCCAGTTTCAAAATGGACTGACCCTCATAAGTCCCGCTTTTACCGAAAAACAAACGTGCTGCTGACCGCTGCTGATACTAGTTTCGTCAAGAAAACAAAACAGTAAGTGATGTCAGTTAGTTGCAGCATCGAAAATTCGAGTATTTGTCAGTCTCAGGTGGACTGACCCTAACACGTCCTGCTTTTAGTGAATATGCATATGTTTTTTATTACTTTGCTTTTTTTATTTGCCGCACACAGCTCTCTTACAAGAGGCTGCCCCACAAAAATCTTTGCAGTGTCAGAAAAAAGAATTCGAAAAATTAAATTTCGAAAACTGCAAAAAACTTCAAACGAACTTCGTCATCGTCATCATTGTCGTCGGTTTCTGAGAACAAGGAATTACTTAGTGCTTCAACCAATGATGATCGTTTACGGATATACGCGTTAGCACGCATCTGACAAAAAAAACACGTTATCCTGCACTAAAAAAATTACGACGATTCTATTGCATTAATTCTATTTACAGCTGAGGGATGAAACAGAGACTATTTATTCCCATTTTTATTCGCAATATGGCATAAGCTCAGTCCTCGCTACTTTCGTGTTACTGTGGGTAACTGATGCAGAAAAAAAATTTAGGAACCAAGGAAGAAGAAAGGAAAAGGGGCAAGGCAGCGAGGAAGGCTTAGAAAATTGCTTGGAGTACCTAAAATTGGAGCTAATTTTTTGAAACGTTCCATTTTCCACACTGCTCTGCACCATAGAGAAATATTTTCAAAATTTGACGCATTTTGTGATTAATAATGATTTTAAAAAAACAGACAAGGGAAGGATGAGGCAAACGTTTTGCTAAATTTGGTGAGTAAGGCAAAACTGCGTTAAAGCGTTTTGAAAAGAAATGACATTAAAACTGACAAAAAAATTGAAAAATACTTTCCCTCTGTTTTTTTTTTTTGTATAATATTTTTTAGCGGTAAATTATTTATTTAATTGATGCGTTCCCTTCATAACCACTTGCACTTATCTACTCTTAATTTTCATATTCATTACTATGCTCAGGCTTCTGATTACCCTCTCCCCGATCCAGGGCCGCCTGGGCTATCAGTATGAGCTTCCCATGTTAGTGAAGTTACTGGGACGCTCGCAACACCGAGCGTAGCTTTGCTAAGATCATATCTCCAGTTAATATTCACTGCCTGTTCAAGGTATGTACGCGGCTGGGGTACTACACGTTAATATGCGATATTCACTAGTTGTCAGCAAGGCGAGAAACAGACCCTATCGATCTAATCAATCTGAACGTTATTTCTTGTTTTCAAAAATAGGAATGAGGATTGCATTAATGTCATAAAAAACTTCCAGGCTGGTTAACTAAGGTTAACTGAATGCAGGCACGTGGCTGATCACGATAAAAAGAAGGAACCTGGTAAGTTGGCGGCGGAAGCATGAAACGAAGGTTCTGCTGGTTTGCCGCGGCAACAATGATCGGATCGTAGGTTCGAATGGGCAAAGAATCTTCGCAGCAAGCAGTGCTTTTTTCAACCTGGAATTTCGTTGCTGGAAGAATAGAGGTACAGTACCTTAGGTTTATCAGCCGCTCTCAACGGTTGCTTTTAGAAACACTTATGACAAGCGGTATGCTACTTTGTATTGCAACGATGATGTAAAAGGAAGAAGAATCAACGCGATAATCAGCATCACCACCATTTATCATTTGTTTATCATCTTTGACATCTACTGATAGGACCCAAATTATTGTGAAACTGTAACCAAACTGATAATTAATTCGTTGTAATGAAGACAGAGAAGTGTAAAACAAACCACTACAGCAGAGAGTCAAAACCCTTCCGAAATTCGCTCTCAGTGAAAGCAGAGGTACTCCGGAAGTATCTCGAGTGGTAAATGCTGACTGTAACCACTCACTGGCAAGTTTGCCGATGGCGCCTTCTTTTGACGATTAATTACAAGCTTGCCTCTGGCCAGCCTAACTCCTCGGCACGTACAAGTACACTAACAAAAGTGACCGAATCCTACAGCGATTGGTTGCCCCAGTGATGGAGCAAACTCCGTATCTTCTGCATCCAACATTGTTATTTTCCACTGCGCTATTCCTTCCGGAAGTAAAGAAATGAGAAGCAGAAAAAGCTTTTTTTTGAAGAAATTCCAGTAAATTCGAATAAAAGAAGCGCCCGTAAAAAAAGTAGCATCAAAAAATAATTTATTCACGACCTTGGCAGCTTTTTGAGGATGAAAAGAAAAGCTTTTACGCAAAAAGAAATCAAATCGATTCATAAAAACAGGTTTGTGCCTTACAAATAATTTCTTTTGCGTCGATTTCAATTTCCTAGACGTTCCAAATAGAGCAGAACGCCGAAGGAGGCTAACACGAAAATGGATATGAGAAAGTCAGCGTTCTGAAGAAAAAGCATTTCACTTACAACTGAACTTGCCAAAATGAATTTCTCGTTCCGAACAACAAGCTGTGCTTGAGGACAGTGTGCGGATAAAACTTAGGCTTCCGGTC